CCAGGCCTTTGTGATCCGCTCCGTTGTTGCCACCGATGGTTACAACACCTGACACGTCGACCTGAGCCATCCGTCCCGCCAGCAATTGGAGCGGTGCCGGAAGTAGCGCGTATCAAACCCTCTACCAACAAACCGCTTTTGCGGAACCTTTCGCGATGCGTTTGCGGTCACGCGTTTCACTTTCAAGGGCATTGGCTTTGAAATGATCACTTTCGGGGCGGGCGCCATTTGCATTTACCTCAACTCCTGCCACACGCGCACAGAGACACAAACAGAAACTGCAAACATGCACTTTTGCGTTCCGCCGCAAGCTCCCTCAATCGACTCCTTTCATAAGGGTTTTTGGCGCTGCTCATTTGCCAATTCGGGATGTGCAACTCACTGGACCAAGAAAGGCATGGAAAGTGCCATCTGCCAACAACAGCCAGGCGCACCACCTTGTCTTGACGTTCTGGCGACCGCAGGCTTTTCATCTCTTGCCTGCTCGGCCAACGGCTGGATTCCCAATTCAGAACCGTAACACAACAGCCAATCCTGCCCTGCCATCACATCTTTCTACTTTAACCTGCGAAGCGATCACATCCACCAAGTGCAAATGAAATCACGCGCCTTTCCTTTTGCATCCCTACAAAAGACTCAAAAAGCAGCTGGGTGCCCCTCCCCTGCCCCTTTCCCGGCCCCCTGGCCTGCCGGCCCCTCAGGGCTCTCACTGCCCCTGAGCCACAAAGCTGCGCGTGAAAAACGACGGTCTCCTTCCGGCGCCCGTCATATCACCTGACTCTCTGCGCGTGCGTCCCTTTGAAGGTACCCCTTTTTTTGGGCTGGATACGCAAAGAAAGGAACTTGTTTCGGGAATGAGACAGGCCTGCGGGAGCCTGACAAGCATCGGGCCTTGTACTCGTGGCAGGAAATTTGTGCTGCCATGAATTTTGATGGGAACACTCTCAAGCATGGTGGTGGACAGAAATCCCGATGCAAACGATGTCCACCAAAGAGTACCTCAATAGTTGTCGTAAGAAAAGAGAGCAAAGCTCAATTAGAACCATATCAAAAAGGGGTGCTTGACAAGCTTGGAAGGACGGGTGACATTGAGAGCTGAAAACGCAGGCTGGCAGCAGCTGTTTGATTTCGCACGCAGCATATTCTTTGGCTGCACGGGGAAAAAGAACGCTTTGGTCCTGAAGCGAGTGTGTGTATATATATATATGTGTGCGCAACGCCCCCCCCAAAGCCCGCGCTTGTTGCTTATGTAAGGGGGTCCACGTTCTAAACAAATTGTCTGTGGCATTTCTCTTTCTAATCATTTCATACATATGCTGGTCATCATCAACAAATCTATTTCAACACAAGTTACTTGGACAAATAGCAGCATGATAAACAAGGTTGGGTACAGTGTAAAAGCCAAGTTAGGTAACGTGTCATAATACACCGGGTTAAGACCACAAAATGTCATACATACATCTCTGAAGTTTTCAATCATGCCAACCAAAAAACACATCTGGCGCCAAAAAGAAAACGTGATGTTCTTTCAATGTGTCCAGATTAATTTTGATTTGGCATAGTCTTCATCACTCATGTTGTCCTCGCTCCATTGACTGAAAAACATTTTTGTGGGGGTACCGGCACAAGTGTATCAAACAAAAAGGCGAATCATGCCTTTTCTGCTTCGCCTACGCATCTTCGATTTCTCATCTCAGCTGATGCGCAAATCCTCTTCGCCTGTGAAATTACAAACCTGTGGTAATACCAAAACCTTGGCCAACACCGAAGCGTCTGCTCACACCTCATATGCCCTGACCACGCTGTCTGCAAACTAATTTCCATAAACAGATTATGATGCTAAACAGCACGCGCCACACTGATAACTTTTCAATATCCAAGGGTTGGTGTGGACTTGTTTTAGTCATGAACAAACATAACGAGTCCCAAACACTAACCTGTTTTTCCGCGCGCGAGTCGAAAAGGATGATAAGGCGCACGCCCAAACAGGAATGACTGAAAGCAGACGCTTTAAAGCACTCTTGGGTCTAAGGTTCAAGATTCCAGAGTGTAGAGTTTTAGACGGACACAGTCACAGTATAGTTAAATGCTCAAAATTAGAGCGCTTGCAAAGCGGGTGGACACACCAGCAAATGTCAGCAGATGCGGGCATAGTTAAACACCCAAATTTGGAGCGCTTGAAAAGGGGGTGGGAATCGCACAAAAGAACTGCAAACACCGTCAAGTTGTCTTGCGGCGTGTGTGGGTGTGTGTGTGTGTGTGTTTTTGTTTTGGGGGGTCCAAATAGATAGATAGAAAGAGAAATAGATAGAAATAAAACAGAGCTGTTGTTTGACAGCCAAATGAATCGATTGATAGATTGATGGATAGATAGATTGATTGATAGGTAGATTGATTGATTGATAGACAGATGGATAGAGAGATAGAAGACAAGATAGATGGAAAGATAGACAGGCAGACAGACAAATAGATAGATAGAAAGATAGATGGAAATATGGAAAGTTAGATGGCAACTGCTGAGTGTTCTCCAGCAACTTGGGCTGGGCAAGTGGCTGTCCGACTGCGGCACGAACACTGGCCAGATTCATGCCCGGCGTGCCACCTATCAGGCTTAGCTGCTCGCCACACTGGCTTGTTTGCATTTTTGCCCTACAAAAGCCCCATACGGGGCGTGCCTGAGACGAGGGTGCTTCCAGCGTGCTTTTCCTTGCATTCCGTTGCGAATTTGCAGGGCGGGTAGATGTCTTGGCATCTCAAAAGAGGCGCGTCTGTAGCGCCCAGGAAGGTTAGCGTTCCAAAGCGCCAGGCTGGGCGTTGTCATTTTATCCGTGAGTTCCTGGGCTTCCTACTTTTCAATCCCCCCAAAAGTGTCGCTCACTTTGGTGACCCAAAGCGGGGTTGACCAAAGGGCGGAGTGTGTGCCCGACTATCACCTATCACGTACAGCCGGCAAAGTCAGTGGCCGAAGTTTAGAAAAATCGAAAGTCTATGCTTTTCTTCTTCTTCCTTCCTTCCTTCCTTCCTTCCTTCCTTCCTTCCTTCCTTCCTTCCTTCCTTCCTTCCTTCCTTCCTTCTTAATTGATCTATCTATCTCTTTATCTATCTATCCATCTATCTACCTATCTATCTCTTCATGTAATTCTCCACCAATCTACCTATTTATCCATCAAATAATCAATCAATCAAACCCATCCATCCACCAATCAATCTCCTCTGTCTAGCTACCTATTTTCTGTCTGTCTCTCTCTCTCTCTCTCTCTGTAGTCGCAAGCAGGCCGTTCTAGATTCACAATAATGAGGCTGTTCACCCAAAACGTCACCCATCCTGGCAGAGGCCAGGGACCAACCACAGGTCTGCGGGAAGCCTGTGGCCCTCTCCTCTCCCAGACAAACCTCCGGCCGTGGAAGCAACCATGAGCTTCACCAGCCCCGAAGAAGGATCAACCATGAGCTTCAGTGTCCTCCTTCACATCACGGTGACAGGACAGGCCCAAGGTCAAGGCCAGGGCTTTCTGCTCCAGCCGCTTGGTGACAATGCCCATCACGCCGGCGACGGGCGTGACACCGAGCAGCTGGAGCACGTTGGGGCGCCTCAGCAAACGCGTTCACTTTGTGCTTTCCAGCAGGGCCCCGAAAACTGACGGGGTGGTGATTCTTACCGAGGGCCCTCTTTCCGGCAACGGGAAACCAGAATGGACCTTGATGGAAACGCCGCACCCTTCATTCCCTAATTCCCTAGACGCCATTTCACAAACGCGCCACAGGCCAGAATGGCTCGCGCGTTGGGACACCCCCCTTGCTTGCGGCGCATACGGAGAAACCTTGCTCTTACGAAGCACTGGGTCCATGATCGGCTTGCCCAAAGACAGTGGGGTTCGTGGCTCGAGCAATCCGTATATTCCCTCAATACGTTGGTCATGTCCGGTGGGTCGGACTTGCGAACATTCAAAAATTCGAGCATTCATGTGTGAACTTTATTTTAGCAGGGAGCAGCTTCGCAACTTTGTGGTGGAAATGAAGCAATGTATTTCAAATGACCAGGCCCACCAAAGGGTCCAATTGAGCACAAATATATATATATATATGTATATATATGCAACCGCTGCCTGCGTCAGGCGAGTCAGGTCATTTTTAATTGGACGTTACCAGAAGTGGGCTCACTTTCTAGTGTGCCAGACTTGCGCAGATGATTAATTCAACGTTCTGAAAAATGTTTGTGGCATTCCGCCTGTTTGCTGATCCTTTTCCCATCATTTCATACATCGTTTGGTCGTAAACTAAACTTCTTTCAGCGCGAGTAAATTTGATCATAGCATCAGGGGTACATGTCAAAAGCCTACTAGGCAAAGTGTCACAACACACAGGGTCTAAGCCATGATGTGTCATACACACACATCTCTGAAGTGTCAAAAACGTCAGTCAATGGTAGAACATCTGCCATAGAAACCGTGATGTTCTCACAATTGTTGCTCTTAGAATGTGGCCATATCAATTTTGCTTTCCATAGTCTCATCACTAATGTTTTCCTCGTTCGATTGACTGTAAGCATCTCTGCCATGGTACCGTCGCAAGGGTGAACAATAAAGCAAGCAATTCCTCTTCTGCCTCGCCTGCGCATCTTCAGTCTCTCTTCTCAACTGATGTGCAAATCCTATTCCTCTGTCAACTTAAAACCTGTGCCAATACCTGCTACGCATCTTCCATCTCTCATCTCAACTCATCTGCAAATCCCCTTCGTCTGTCAGCTCACAAATCTTGGCCAATACCCAAACAGAACGCTTTAAAGCACTGTTGGATCTAAGAATCAAGATTAAAATGCAAGTTTTGGGAATCTTGAATCTTGGATCTAAAAGTGCTTTATTTAACGCGCTTTCGGTGGATAGAGTTGCAGTCAAATGCGAAGATGCAAGCATAGTTAGATGGTCAAAATTGTGGTGCCTCAAAACGGGGTGGACATCGCCCAAAAGTAGTGTAAATGCCGTCAATTTCTCTTGGAGTGTGTTTTGTTTTGGGGAGGGGGATACCATATTTGTAAATATGTATAGCGATATCTTGCCGGCAGACGAAACAACTGCCAGCACGTAGCGTGAAAAGCCGGAGCAACGCCCATCCGTGGCTCCACCAGCATAGGCCCCAACTACGAACCTCACATGCGGAATGACGCGACTTCTCAAACTCGCCGGATCCTCTGAGCGCGCGCTCATGCTTCCAGCTTGCCGGCTTCCAACTTGAGGCGGTCCGCGGCCTGACTCCAACGCGATTGACATGACTAAGGTCCACTTTGCAACGTGTGGAAACTCGGGTAGGAATCCTTGTTCTCAATGGACCTGAGGGATGCAAGCCTTGGAACGTGCAGCCCATTCACTGAGCTCGGTTGGCTGGGCTGGACAATCCGGCGCCTTGTCCATGTTGTAAACGTAAGTGGACATCACGTGGTCGAGGGCAGACCTAGAGGATGCTTTGGCACCTTTAGACCGCCGCAAAGAAAGGCCACCGTTTTCGTCCTCCTCCAAATGGTTTCCCCAAACAGCAAAGCGGTATTCCTGGCAACAGGCTTTCTGGCCGTTGTGACGTTCGCTCTCGCTGACTGTATGTCTGTCAATTCTGCAAACGGTGAGAGGAGGGAGGGTTCTTGATTTCGAATGGAAAGTCAATGACCTCGCGGCTTGGCACTCTGAGTTTGGTCAAGTCTCGGGAGTCTTCATGGCAAAAATCATCCCCGAGCATAGTGGGAATGACAGCCCAGTAGGAATTCGAGGGAATGATGCGGTATCCTTTCTTGCGCCGGAAGTGGGGGCGTTGAGTGTGGATTGATTCGCGGGTTCTGCGTGACAAAGTTCACCTCGATGTTCAGGGCAGACATGAGGATCCATGTTTGCATCATGAACATCTCCTGACACCCCTGATCAGGTCACGTTCTGTCACGTTGGTGAGTACGGATGCTCAGCATGCACTGGAACTAGTTAGACCCGAACACTCCGGCTTGGCATGAATTGAGAGGCAGGTGGTCTCAGCTGCTCTAGCCGTTACTGTCTAAGTACCCTTGACTCGTGGCTTGGATTGTGGACGGAGTCTCAGGTGGTTGTTCATTTCCGGGATTTGCGCCAGGGGTGAAGTTAGATGGCAGACTCTTTAAGTCTTTCCGTTTGGCGGTTGAAACTAGGGACCTCTTTCCGGATTGTTTCGACAGCAAAGATATATCAATCGGGGGGTCCTAGATTTGACACAGCCCATCTACTTTCAGGATCTTTTATGATGTGCAAGCTGCAGCACCCATGCCACCTGGGACCCATGTTTCTGTTTCCGCCTGACATTTGGGTCTGTGTCAAGATAGGGGCCCCCAAAATGCTGGTTGTTCCTTTTGGTGTCCCTTTAAGCCCACCCCAAACAGGGTACCCGCCCTGAACAAAGCCCGCGGCTGCGCGACCGTGATTTCCGGCAGCTCGCGGCAAAACTCATCGAGCCTCCCGGCGCCCCATCCCACTCGAGTCCAGGCTCCCGGCCTCCAAGTCCATCCAATTCCAACGTCTACCCAACCCCAACTCCGCACGATTGTTACGATTGTTGCTTGTGTTGAATTCAAGCCTGGATTCGCGATGACGAGAGCAAGCTGAACTTGCATTTCTGGGATGGGTGGCCGTTGCGAATTTGAGAAACCAACCAACGACCACCCTGTTCATGCTGGATTGCTGATTGGGGGACTGTGGTCATCTCAAAAGCGCACACATCTCGAGTTCAATCGTATGTCGTGGCTGCCGCGATTGAATTCTGAACTGTTACATTCGTAACTTGCCGAGGGCGGTCACTGGGCACGCCGAGTCGTCTACGGAATCAGCATGGCTGGCGCAATTAGCTTACCGTGGGCCCTATAGGTACCATCATTGGTTTCAATAGGACATAAGATTCATTCTTCGACCGGTAACATGTTGCCCGTTTGCTGTCAGTGACTCCTTCAAATGCGGACCGAACGCGCTCCGTCCTTCTTGGAGAAACACTGGGCCAGGCCAGGCTTAACTCTGGACACGCACATCAGTTGGCCTTCTAGAATTTCAAAACTGGCACAAGTCCTCCCTAAAAGTGTCTTCTAGTTTGTTGTAGTCTGCGGTCTCTCATCGCAACGATTTGTATGACTCGTCCCTTGCAGCTTTGTCATTGTATTGTGTATTGCCTCATATTGCCGCCAATTCGACAGCGGCAAGCAATGCCTGAAAAGAAGCTATAGCCAATGAAGGGAACGACGACTGGACAATGAGTGCGAACACACTTGGGTGGAGGTGCTGTATGCGACCATACATACATGACCAGGGATTCTGCATGTCGTGCAGTCAATCAAGATGGCATCGCTTCTCTCAGATCAGGTCATGCCCTGCGCATGAGGCATGCCTCTTGCCCCCTGCCTGCCACTCAAATCGATGGGCAGAATGAGCCGTCCAGCACAAGCATCCACAAGCCAGATGGCCTTCGCAGGTGATCCCAAGAGACTCTTCCACCCCAGCCGTTTTCACAAACATCGCACCAATACTCAAATCGACAAAGTTACTCTTGACCCATCACTCTGATATTCCTACCGACAGGCCCAGAAAACTAGGATCGCTTTCCAATCAGCTGCCCCCCCCGCCTCCCCGGGGATTCGCAGGGAGGCCCGCTGCTGCGGGATCTTTGCAATCAAGTCCTGCGCTGCACATTGCGCGGGGGTTGATCCATCCGTGATACATGGGATGACCAATGATGACCATCAGGGAAACCAAACAAGATAAATGTCCGAACTGGGAAAAGTTACCCATGGTCATTTGGGGGCCCGAAATGGAAAATTGATCAACCCCTTTTGTCTGTGGGGGGTGCGCTTGTGTCTGGCCCAAAGGCTTTGGGGAACTGGCTCGCTGTTCTTCACTCCGGGCGCCTCGAACTTGGGGTCGTCCACCTCTCCGCCGACCAGAATGCCGAGGGTCTGCGACCAGGACATGCCTGGTGAGACCAAGCGCCAAGGTGTGGTTCAAGGGCAGGGAAGAGTACAACCCAAGTCGTCCTCTTGCTTAAGCGGCATCGATCCTCTTTTCCGAAATTCCCCAACCAATTTGAGGACTGGTCCGCGCAGAGTGGAGGCAAACAACCACACATTAAATGCCCAGAGAAATCTGTGTTGGATCCTACGTGAGACGTTGCACTAATCCAGGACTGCGCATCTGCCGAATGCGTGGAAAATTGAGCAACATCGGTTAGTAATGATGCTTAAAGATGCTTTGGGTTGTTGCTTTGCCGTTTTCATCTGGCCTTTGCTTCAGAGCGCGCCTTCAGAGTCCAAACCACGTGGATGACTTCAGAGCTTTGCCGTGTTTAGGTTCGGGGCTTGGAAGCCCACGCTTGGTGTTTTGCGGGGGCCAGGATTCGTGTAAGGGTTGCCTTCCCGAGGCTGCGCGACAAAACGGCGGCTTCGCGAAGCGGCTTCGCGAAGCGGCTTCGCCCGTGTCAAATCGCGCAGCCTACGCGGGAGGCTTCGCTTTCCGGCACACGATGTATCACAGTTCCCCCCGAATCTAAAATGCGTCATTCGAGACAAATCGCTCAGTTCAGGCCATTTTTCGAAGCGAATCAAGATACTGTTTGCATGTCCAGTCGATGGCAAGATTGTCTTCACGGACGGTTTTGTCTCGCATACGGGAAAGTGCGAAACATCTGACTACACTACACTTCATAACAGCCGCAGGTTCCCTGAAACTTGGACATGCTACAAAACTCAGGTTGATGACCTCGCATGACTTCGCATGCATGCCTGCCACTTACGTGCATGGGCGGATGCAGTCCTGAAAAAGTCCAACACCACATCTGCGGGCACTATCCAGCATCCAACGATTGGGTCTCTGAGTCATGTGCGACTACCACCCTCGCACTTAACTTCATGCTGACGTGTTTAATCAACCTGGCGGATCATAGTGGTGCTTCCCCACAGTGAAGGATGCCCTCAAAAATCCTGCAAACCTCTTTTAGGTTGAATCCTGGAGGTTGCGAATCCTGGAATCCCATCACCAACCTCAAGGGTCTTTGGATGGTTCCCCTGGCCAGTGCCATGCCTGCTTCTGCCAGCCGCTCTGCTGCCAACACCTGGCACTCTGGCAGCCACAAAGACTGACTCTCGGCCAAGCAACCAAGCAACCAAGCAACCAAGCAACCAAGCAACCAAGCAGACCCCTAACAAACCAAACTCAACCAACCAAACAACCAAACAACCAAGCAACCAAGCAAGCAAGCAACCAACCACCAACAACCTACCTTCTGTATTCCCATAGTAAGCCAACAACAAGCTTTTTAAGAACAGTTTTTTACTTGGTTGTTTCTCCTGGGCCTCAACCACATGACCCCCGAAAATAGCTCTGGTGATATTTGAATAGCTGCTAGCCCATCCAACATTCATCTCATCCACATCATGGGAATCAGCACTCAGCTGACATGTCTTGATCATTCGCCATGTGTTCCATGGTGAAAACTCCACACGTGTTGCGGGGAAAAAAAAAAACATATCTAATAGAGCTGGCTATATGAGCCCTCGCGCCTATCTAATGCCCTTATCATTAGATTGATGGTACCCTTTCAAACCCCGAGGCCTGACAGTTTACGCATCGTGGATGAAACACTGCGCTCCATCTCCGGAAATGTTGCAGTCACCCTGACCACGCACTTCTTTGCCCTGACAAAAACAGGCCCCGAAAAGGACGCCAGCCACTGACCACCAACCATGGAAACCACCTGGCCAGGGAAGTCTGAAGTCCCCCAAACGGCCCCAAGCAGACCTTCCTGCAGGCCGGGGGCCAGGCCATTCGGAGCGCAGCGTCCAGGGAAAGGTGTGGGACTGGGTCGAATCCTGCCATCGGAAACCCAACTCGGGGAAGCCATAGGAAATGATTTTTGCCAGAATATGGCCGTGGGTCAAAAGCCAAATCGCACCCCCAGTGAACATGCCAATCCCCACTAAAATAGGTTCTAAAATGGGTGGTGCACCTACCCCAAAATGGTACCATTGACCCACAGCCATATCCAGAAACACCGGGGCGTAGAGTGGCGTTAGGTCCGCGTCACTCCACATTGCCTACGACTGTATCAGCTGCGCACGGCCAAATTTCGGGAGGTCGCATTCGGTCTGAGGCCTTGACTGTTGATGACCGAGATCAGCCCACTTTCCAGTCCTGGCCTTGCCGACAGTTCACACATTTTCTCTCATGAGCGATACAATCCCTGAGAGTGCGAAGGAAAGTTGTGAAATATCCGGCCATTCGGGTCGTCTCAGCACAGGTTGCAAAGCCATCTGCTTAGAAAGATCCGCGCAGGTGCAACCGACAGAATCTAGTATTGTCCAGGCCCGGGAGCAAGTGCTCTGAATCCCAAGAAAAAACAACAACCGCGCTTCGCAAAGCCTCCCCGGTTCTTTATGGTTTTCGCACAAGCATCGCATGCAGCATGCTACCACCTGAATGTCTTTCTTCCACAAGTAAATGCATGCAAAAGAAGGTGCTGTCAAGTCGTTTACACGATTCATGGGGACACAACTGCAACGAGTAGCACAGGACCACAATTCTATCGACAAAGCATGCCAGTCCCGCCACACACTGCAAAGGGTTCTATTTTGATACACGAATTGGCTCCTGCAAGCGTCTCTCGTACTCCAACTCTGCCGCCAACACGGTGGGATACAAACAGCTAGTACAATTATCCCACATAACACCTGCCTTGAATTCCCCCTTGCCCTCCGCGAATCCGCACCGAATACTTGATTGAAGACACTGCAACGAGTTGTCACCACCAGGTTGGACGTCAACCGACCCTTGCCAGGGCTTCAGGGCTCCAGGGCTCCAGGGCTCCAGCTGTTTACCCCGAGACTCAAATCCAGCGCTTCCCATTGGGAGATCGCCCCTGGAACCAAACCAAGCTCCAAGGCCCCAGGCTGCTTGGGCCCCTGGAAGGCTGGCGGTGGCCCCGCTGCGAAGGCCCGCACCTCCACCGGCAGCAGGGCCTGTGGCAAGGGGCGCTTTCCTGAACGACCAAAGTATCCCCCCAACCCTAGAGAACGTTTTGTGAAGTTTCTTAGCAACAGCATTTTGGAACGCGCTGGACTGCAATGATTTTGAGGTTCGACGAGGGGGTGCCCTGACGCATTGAACAAGGGGCCTGCCTGAAATGCGTGGGCAATCATCTTGTCCCCCTAATCTTCTCACCTGAAAGCCATCCTTGGCCCGTGTTTTGAAGCTGTACTTGCGCAACCGAAGATTCTGTATCTGCCTGTCATCCCACGGGCGATCGAGCCTCGGCCCGCAGCTTCATGCCCAGCAAGAGGCTCACCGAGCCGCCAAGGCTGTGCCCACACACCTCGCTCGCCAAGGGCCATGGGTTAGTCACGGTTGGCACCCAGAGAGAAAGCGTTGACATCACACACACACACACGCACACCATCATACCGCCGCAAAACACATGAATATATCTACTTAACTTAAGAGGCCCTCCAAGTGGCGGGTTTCCTTTTGAGATAATCCAAAAACACAATGAAAGGTCTCTCAATGTTCGGGCATGCTCGAATGATCGTTCACACATTGGTCATGAAGACTACACAAATAGTGGATGCCAATGTCAGCCTCTTTGCTAACTTAAGCTGGGCCCTGAAGTCAAAGTGTTGTCCAAATATGTTCACAGAAAAGCCTCTCACATTTCAGGCGCCAGCGCCAACCATTTGCTCAAATGCCACATGTTCAAAAGCTGAGGCCAACGCGATGAAGCGCTTGTAGGGCCCTGACATGCAAGACCCGTGTAACAGCCGCACTAACAGCGGAGCTTGCAGGAGCATTCACGTGCCCAGCCTGACTCGAGGGCTTTGGTGACAGCCGGACCAGCTTCGTCCCAGACCTGCATAGTTTCGGCTTGTTTAGCAAGGCAGGATTGCACTGAAGACTTTCCGGGATGTAGTTGTCGTCGCCGTCGCTGTGGTTGTTCTTGTTCTTGCTGTGGTTGTGTTTGTTCTTGTTATTGCTCCTGTCATTGTTGCTGTAGCTGTCGCTGACGCTGTCGCTATCGGCGTTGTTGTCGTTGGTGGTGTCGTTGTCGTTGTCGTCGTCGTGGTCGTGGTCGTGGTCGTTGTTGTGGGTCGCGGTTGTGGTTGTGGTTTGCGTTGTTGTTGTTGTTGTTGTTGTTGTTGTTGTTGTTGTTGTTGTTGTTGTTGTTGTTGTTGTTGTTGTTGTTGTTGTTGTCGTTGCTGCTGCTGCTGCTGCTGCTGCTGCTGCTGCTGCTGCTGCTGCTGCTGCTGCTGCTGCTGCTGCTGTTGTGTTGTTGTTGTTGTTGTTGTTGTTGTTGTTGTTGTTGTTGTTGTTGTTGTTGTTGTTGTTGTTGTTGTTGTTGTTGTTGTTGTTGTTGTTGTTGTTGTTGTTGTTGTTGTTGTTGTTGTTGTTGTTGTTGTTGTTGTTGTTGCTGTTGCTGTTGCTGTTGCTGTTGCTGTTGCTGTTGCTGTTGCTGTTGCTGTTGCTGTTGCTGTTGCTGTTACTGTTGCTGCTGTTGCTGTTGCTGTTGCTGTTGCTGTTGCTGTGGCTGTTGCTGCTGCTGCTGCTGCTGCTGCTGCTGTTGTTGCTGCTGCTGCTGCTGCTGTTGGTGTCGTTGTCGTTGTCGGTGGTCGTGGTCGTGGTCGTCGTTGTTGTTGTCGTTGTCAGTGTCGTTGTCAGTGTCGTTGTCGTCGTCGTCGTCGTCGTCGTTGTTGTTGTTGTTCCTGCTGGTGATGTTGCTGCTGCTGCCGCTGCAGGTGCTGCTGCATTGCCGTTGCAGGTGCTGCCGGCGGCATATCTGCCCGTGAAAGAAGTGTTCCCCCAGTTTTTGACACATCCATGCAAAATTGGCTTCCCCAGGTTACTTGCACCATCATCATCATCATCATCATCATCATCATCATCATCATCATCATCATGATCATGATCATCATCATCATCATCATCATCATCATCATCATCGTCGTCCTCATCATCATCATCACCACCACCATCATCATCATCATCAGCATCATCCTTACATCATCACCATCATCATCACCGTCGTCATCAGTATCATCATCAGCATCATCACAATCATCACCATCATCAACGACGCACGTGTCGTCGGGGTGGGAGTGCGGTTTGGAGGGGGGGGGGGATGGTCACGTACGCGGTCCACTGCATCATCATGACGATACACTTTCTGCCATGACTCACTGAGGGTGCTTTGACTCGCATGCGCTTGACCACTTGCCAACCAGCAAAAACATGGAGCCTTTTTTGCGCTCAAAGTGTTTGCCTTCTCAAAGGCCGGCAAAAACCGCCAGGGTCATTCAGTTGTGAATGATGTGCTTTGCGGCTTTACGCATCGGCTTTTGCTTTTGCACTACGCTAAAACTCGAGTGACTCCGAAGCAGACACGTGGCGATCTCTTGGCAAAGCTGTTGCAGAGCTGCGCCTGAGGTGCGGTGGCCAAAGCCACCACGGGCAGTTCTGCCGTGACATGTTTCTTGTTGCTTTGCCTTCTTCCGGTTGTGTTCGGAGGTGGTGCTGCTGCTGCTGCTTCATGAATTCATGTGGCCCCCTTGCCACAGAATCTCAAAGCTTCGAGTGATGTTGCGCAAAAGGAAAACTCAACAAACTGCATCAGGCTGCCATGGTGCACAACTGCCTGGTTCCATTCCTAATGAAGCCAGTTCCTTAATTTTTCTCCGTAGATATGGTGTCATCGCCCAGGCGCAAAGCAACGCAAAGCAAGAGTACACGATTTCCTCTTGTGTTCTCCGCTTTCCCCTTTGAAACCAGTCAAAGGTGTTTCGAGAGGCCTCCCTTCTTGCGCGGTCCAAGAGCCGAGGCTGGCGCGGCTGTCACAGCGCCAGCCATGCCCTGTCAGCTAAAAAATCAGGGTGCGGCCAATGGTGTAGGGTTCGAACGAAAACACAAATTAAAACCACAAGGAACAGAGCATCGGGAATTGGGGCGCCCTGGAAATTCAAGTACCTGGAATTGATAGACTCCGGTCGTTCCGGCAGTCAAAGTCCAATCGCGGGCAAGACGGTGTCCGCACGACGCGTTGCATTGCACAACATGTCATGGACCCCATCAAAGCTAGGTAGGGGTCTTGCCATCTTCACACGTCTCAGGTCTTAAGATTCTGCATTGCATGGCCCCAGCGAGCCCACCTGCCAAAGAGCACGGGGAAAAAAGTCACCAGTCAGCGCTCTCGCGACGCCTCGTGGGCGTGACCATGGAGGAACTCGCAGTTGGCACAGGCCAGGTCTGTGGCCTTAGGCGCAAAGCCCTACCTTTGGAAGTTCGCAGGGTAGGTTGGCCTCTGTGGGTTTGACTCCCGGAGATGTGTGTGTGTGTAGGTATTTCTCTGGTTCTTCATAAATAACATTCAGCTTCAGCAGCAAATTTGGCAGCCTGAACCACAGCTCCCAAGAGCAAATATGCGCTTGAACTGCTTCAGCGTCAAACGAAGGCTGAGATGGATTGGTGTCTCTTCTAATGCCTTAGTTTACTTTCGTCCCAAGGATCACGAAATTACATTGCAAAGAGAACAAAAAGGCACTCCTAGGAATGTGCATGTTGAAAAGACACAAGCTCTCTCTCTCCAAAGGGTCCTGAAAGGGCAACCCTATTGGTTGAGGTGGGATTTCCGCGAGCCCTCCACAGCCCTGGCTAATCGACAACAAGGAGCTTGCAAATCATGCTCCGTATGCTTTTAGACATGGAAAGCCTCAATCCACAAACTGCGGCTTCCGCGACTGCAGTCCCACGTGCATCTCGCAAAAGAAAGTCCACTAACTCTCTTGGTGAATCAACTGTTTAAAGCAAACTCAATTGGCACAATGGGTTGATTCCCTGTCGTGTTTCCTGGAAACAGCCTTAAAGGGGAGTATCAAACAAGGACAGATTTATGGAAGCTGACAGGAGGGTTTTGGAAGATTGGCACATGCAATCTAAGGATCTGGCGATGTCGTCCATGTTTGCTGAACCACGGATGGAAAGAACCAAATCATTGTCATCCTGCGATACACTCATTGTCAGGAACATGTGGGTGATGGTCAAATTATGGGACCCTTTTTTGGGCTTCATCTAAAGGCGGCAGGACTCTGCCTGGGTGTCCTTGTGGAAAATTATGGTACATGATTGGACTCGACTCAAACTAGATACAATCCGGCATCTATCTAGAACCAATCTGAAAACAGCAAGGACACCTATACACGCCCCTGTCCGTGACTATCCCCATGCACTTTCACGGCTTCTCCTGGAAGAGCACCCACCAAGGTCTGAAAGCAGCGCCAGAGCGGTGGTGCTTCCTAGCGGCTGCGATTTCGTGAAATCCTTCAAAAGGAAAAAGCACCAATCCAAATCCATTTTGAGTCAAACCACCAGCTACCTGCAGCATTCAGGGCAGTCAGCCCTCAGCCCATGATTTGCCAACAGAAAGCTGCTGCCCTTGTCCTCGGGGTCTTCTTCCCCCGCGCGAGGAATCGCTCAGACCTAGGCAACTGTCCAAACATTTCCTTGCCACACAAACCAGCAGGGCAAAGCGGTGCTTTAAAAGTACTGCAAAGCGTGTGCAAAGCGTGTGCATATGTGTGCATAGGCGCCTGCGTGTCTGCGCTTTGCGTGCCTGCCTGCCTGCCTGCCCTGCCTGCATGCATGTGTGTTTGTGCTTTCGTGTCTGCGTTCCTGCCTGCCAGCGTGCCTGTGCGCGTCCGTAAATGTCTACCAGACTGCAGCCCAAACTTGACGCGGCCTTTGTAACCAGCTCTTGGATATCTTCAAATGAATGGATGGGCCCACTCTGCACTCCAAGCCCAACGAAATGTCTGGGTTCAGCTGGCAGCTCACAACGCAAAGCCAACCGCGCTGAATCATGCCACATGTGAACTAGCGCATGTCTAAGAGAGCCGGTTTCTTCAAAACGCAGAGGGGTCTGTTGGCATTTGCGCCTGAGGCTTCAAATCGCTCTCCATCATTCACAAGACAACGCTCCACTGTCGCTGAGCATGGCACCATGCAAACAGAACTCAGTAAACGGCTGTGGGTCAAAAATAGGGCAACCCCAAATGGAACCCTGATAAATGAAAGCATGGACTAAAACCTGCGGTCCCCTGGTTTACTTTTGACCCATACCCATGGCAGAAGAGCTGCGAGGCCCGATCCTTCCGCCCGAAAGGATCGAAGCCTCTCAGGCCATAGCGGCAGCTTCAAGAAGCGCGCGGCGGCGGCTCCATCGCGGCCCGGCCCTGGCGTTCAAAGCCCAAGCAAGGCAACACGGATCGCGCGACCGGAAACAGATCGGTTCCGGTGAACCACGATCTGGAGCCAAACAAAGAGGGTCACTCTGACTTGACCTCCGGCAAGCGCGCAGAACTCGAAAACAGAAAAGAAAAAAAAAGATGTCCTAGCACGGCGCACCTGTCAACCTCCAGGAAGTAACTCTCAAATATTCAGCCATTGTAGGGGCGTGCATCAATAAACGCACAAAAAGCAAGCCAGGCGAGCAGCCCCGGTCACCTTTTCAAAGAGTAAATGGAGATCGTTGCACAATGATGAATGCGCAATTAACTGATCCATTCGTTAGTTGAACAATACAAGCTTGAAGACATCCGATATCCTCGAGGACAAACCGCAAGCAACAGAACACATCTTGCAGGTTCTACAAAACATGGTGCTATGTCGACTTGCTCCTGCTCTCAGCAAGTTCTGTGTGAGGCTACCCTGTCCCTTAACCTGCTCATGACATGCACCAGCAACGGAAAGGCAGGGAGGCGAACAAGGCCAAAGGAAACAAACCTCGCCGATTGCCGACCTCTCCCATGTGACAACATGGCGGTCGGGGTTCGCCCTCAAGTATTTCCCGAATATAGCCTGACTAAGGCTGCCAAGGCCTTCTTGCCAGGGCGAGGGCGGCCTCTTGAGTCTCTTGTTGGGACAAGAGTGTCCGTCTGAGGCTTGCAACTCCTGGGTCCAGGGGCAACTCCAAACCGGAACCCTGGTAAATGGAAACATGGAAACATGGACAAACACCTGCAGTTTTTTCTGGCGTTTTAAGTTACGCACAAATGACTTTCCTCCCTTCGCACGTCCGCCTGCCGGCGGCCAAGCATCCCGGAACTGCAGAAGCCCCACCTCATGGCGCGGCTTGGATTTGTGTCGACGGGACCCTTTGGAGGATACTTTGAAGGGGAAAGCAACGTGGAACCAACCAAGAGAGGGATCTGGTCTGTGCACGTAGCTATTTGAGCCAGGATCCATGAAGTTCTGCTTGTTGCACCACGTGATTCATGGAATACCAAATCACCAGCCTCGAGTTTCTACGGGAAGATCAACGAGCCCTCCTTCCGATGTTGCGCCTATGACGATAGCCCCGCTCATTTGAGCAGCATCCCAGTCTGCCCACCATGCTGACAGGGCTCGCCTATGTTCGTTTTGATCGGTTCATTCACTTGGGGGTCCCATGGCGTTGTTGCAGTAATCCTCGCGATCCT